TATATATATAAATAATACAATACAGATGTATTGTGTATTATAAAATTGACAACATGTGTTTCTTTTTTGTTGAAAATGTGATTCATTTTACAACCTTTGTTGCAGGCCATCCATTCGGTCAGCTGGCATCATGAAGGGAAGCAGTTTATGTGCAGTCACTCAGATGGCAGCTTGACCCTGTGGAACCTCAGAAACACTTCCAAGCCCATCCAGGTCACATTCCCACATGGTGAGAATCTAAAACTAGCTACGCGCCTTGCTTTGTTTTTTATTTATAGATGGACTACAGCAGCATTTCATCCTTGGAAAAAAAAAAACAATGACCAATCATTTTGCTGACACTATACAATGTGTGATATTTTATGCAGTGGAGTGTTTCCCCAACCTGAACTGAGCCAAGGCATATTTTTAAGATACGAAAAATTACCCAGCACAGAAATGACACAAACACTGATTAAATGAGGATCCCATCTCACTTCATTTGCAATTGATTTCCCCAAAGATATATTTGTTGAAAATAAATAATAACTATCACCCCAATGATAGGATAATTTCCCATGGCACACCTGATGATGTCTCACGTACTAATGTGTTTGGGAATCACGATAAACATTCTAATTCTGTAGTGCATATACAGTGTTGATTTGTCATTGTGTGAAAGTGACCATGGAGAGGACAGGGATCAGAGTAGGAAAAAAAAATGTACGATTCATAAAAACGGGACCCTTTACGCAGGATTATGCAGCCCATAGTTGTCAGCTGTGACCACATCAGTCATTTATTTGTGAATGACTGTCAATCACTGATCTTAATCGCCATCAAGATTTCAAATTTCTTCTAGATAGTTCTCCAGGAGGGCAAAATAAGACAAATTATAACCGAATGTTATTTTACAGAGGTGCAACCGACTGCACTCTTGAACAGAGGTATGAGCTATGCCTGGACAAATAATTCACCAAGATAACCTGACTTGGATTTTTGTTGTCGTTTTGACTCAATGTAATGGAATTACCTTTCAAGAAAAAATAAATAAATAATAAATACCCATCATAAAAAGTACCACACAATCAAACAGCAGATCGAGGTACAAAGCGGAACCCAAGCCGATAAAAATCTTCTCAGCAAATGGTAATAAAGCCAAAACAAACAGTAATCATGTTTCGGGGCTCAAAACAGTCTGCCACCCTCTAATAGTAAATAAATAATTCTGACTAGACGCTGCATGTCAGCTGTCAACACAGCTGTGTTGGTTTGGCAGCGTTGACTTGTTGACTTTGTCATTTTTTTTGTGCAACTGACATCCTGTACACCACTGCCCCCCATCTCTCTCACACACACACACACACACACACACACACACACACACACACACACACACAACAACTTG